CCAGCATCTGCAGTTCCTACTATCTCTGAAACAATTTTAACCCCCATGAACTGAAACAAGTTTTTACCACACCACTCTTCCAGTCAATGTTAATAACCTTAAAATTAGCTGCACCGCTGGGAGTGTAATCCAGCAAATCTCTGTGACAGAATTCTTGGTTTGTATCCGGCTTTCAAGCCAGCAAAACCATTGCTCTGTGACTGGGGTGACATTTACGATCAGACAGTTCCAGCTGGCAACGTTCAGTTCTGCCCAGCAACAGGGGGGGTGTCTTCTTGTAAAGTTTTCCATAGGACACTGAGCACAGTGTTGGGGGTCACTGCAGAAGAGTTCATAGGCAGAGAAAGAGGCAAAGAAAGATACAGAGCCCGAGAAACGTCAGAAATAGGAGCAGGAGTAGGCCATCCAACCCCTTGAGCCTGCTTCTCCATTCAACACGATCATGGCTGATCATCCAACTCAGTCCCCGTTCCCTCTTTCTCCCTTTGATCCCTTTAGCCCTAAGAACGCAAGCTAACTCCTTTTTGAAAACGTTCAAAGAAAGTTCCACAGGCTTTCCACTCTCTGGGTGAAGACATTTCTCCTCATCTCAGTCCTAAACCCCATTATCCTTAAACTGTGACCCCCTGGTTCTGGACTCCCTGGTTATCAGGAACATCCTTCCCTGTGTTTGCTCCTTCTGGTCCTGTTAGAATTTTACACGTTTCAATGAGAACTCCCCTCTTTTTTCCTAAGTTCTGGTCAATGTAATCCTATCTGATCCAAAATCTCTCCTTATACCTCAATCCTACCATCCCAGGAATCAGTCTGGTAAACCTTCTCTGTTCTCCTTCCATAACCAGAACATCCATCCTCAGATAAGGAGACCACTCTGCAGAGAGTCAATATTAATAACGCTGAAATTAGTTGCACTGCTGGGAGTGTAGCCCAGCTAACAGGTTCTGTCTAGGGGACTCAGTGAGCTCCTCAACACATCTGTGCTGTTCGAGCTCAGGGAGAAGCCTTTGGAATTACGAGACAGCTTAAGAGTCCGAGTCTAGACTCAAAGACATCCTGGGTAGTGGAAAAAGTTTTAAAAACTGAAAGGACTGCGGACGCTGAAAATCAGAAACAAAAGCAGAAACTGCCAGAAAGTCTCAGCAGGTCTGGCAACATCTGTGGAGAGAAATCAGAATTGGTGTTTGGGTTTAGAACCTCAGGAGAAACGTTTTGTTGGGGGAAGCCACAAGGAGTGTAGAGGAAGTCTACAAGCAGCAGTGTAGCTGTGAGAGTAGGGGTTTGAGAAGTGGTTTTCATTCGGTTAACGTGACTGAGCAAGAGTGGAAGGTGGAGGAACAGCAGGACTGGCTTGGTTAAGGAAGTGAGCATTGGAGAGCGGACTCTGGGTCTGGGGGTGGGAGGGGGCGCATAGCCTCAGGATAGAAGGGATCGCAACCAGAACGGGAGCCGGCTTTGAGGCAGTCTGTTGCAGAAGGGGTCACCATAGAGAGACTTTCCAGGCCATTTAACACAACTGAAGAATTGTAATCCCTTGGGATAGCCGTGTCAATTTCTGTCAGGGGAATTTCTGAGGAATCCATGGGATGTCTCTCGATCACCTTTGCTGTTGGGGTGTTTGGTTACTGTCTAATGCCCATATTTACTACATATTAATCCTGGGTGTGAGAATGAAGTTGTACATTTATTATGGATTTTATTCCTGCTCTGCTCTTGGAGTGTAAGAGTTGTAATTCTTTGTTTAAAACTACGGAATCGTATGGCTTTATTCTCTTAACGATTTACACACAAATAAGGAACAAGAGAAGGCCACTCAGCCCAACAAGCCTCGCCCACCACTCGATATCCCTGGGTCTACCACTTTGGCTGCACTGCAGAATGGAAATTACTGGGCCCTATCCAAATTATTACACACATTTGGCTCTCTGGGATCGGGACAACTTTAATCTTATTTATCACTTTGTCCATTTGCTCCTGGCTCCAGTGGAAATCCAGAGATTATTCCCCTTGAGTTTCACTTTGGAAATCACTCTGTGAGCTGGGCTTCTTTCCTACTGCTCCCTACAGCGTTGGTACACTTACAGACTACAGCAACTGGATCTCCCATCCTCGCGCTGCAAATTCCTCTCTAGCCCAGGACAGATGCACCTGCACCTCCCCAGACAACACCTTATGTGGCTCGGTGCCACACTTTGTGTCATAGTGCTCGTGTCAAGCTACATGAGATGTTTCATTACCTCCGAGGCACTACATCAAGATAACTTGTTGTTGTCGTACCTGAAACAAATCTCCCATTGAATTAAAAAAAAGCCATGAGAGAGTTTCTCCCTGGGTTTCTTGGCCAATCAGCTGATGACACGGGAAAGGGAGAACAGATGGCCAGGTTACAGACAAACTGCTGTTTGTGGGATCTTGCTGTGCACAAATTGATTGTCGTCTTTCAACACTATCAAAGAGAAAGGGGGCATTCGGCGATGCCTTGGAGGGTGCTGTGGGAAGGCACTGCCTTGATAAAACCTCAATGTCTCTCCGATCAGATTCCATTGTCTCTCCGATGAGGCAATGGCTCGCTCACATTGCTGATTCTGAGGCTAGGCTTTAGGGTCAGATCTGCCCCAGACATTTTAGAGCATCCCCTCATGCCCCCTCCCCCCCCAGGCCCTGAAGGGGTGGGTTGAGTGTGGGGAACTGGGCTCACACGATGGTGAAGCCCCTCAGCTCCTGAGGAAGCCGTCCTGGAGAACTCGGGCCCAGTTCTCCATCCAGCTGCCATGAGGTTGGCTCTCAAGCTGCTCACTGCAACTATCCCTATTGCTGAGCTCCAGCCCATGCTTTGAATTAAAGGATAAAGAAATCGAACCACTGACAGAGGATCAGAGGGGAGAGAGAGAGAGAGAGACAGAAGGAGATGAGAGCCACCCCGCATTTCTGTAGCAACTTTGAACACCTCAACTCATCCCCAAACCTTAATCCCCCAAGAAGCCATGATCCCGTTGTATGGCGGAGCTGAACCAATGGGCTCCCGTTGTCTTATGGTCTATTCCTTGTTTGTCGTGGAGGAAGAGCGCTCTGTACACAGCAAGATCCCACAAATGGCAATCCGGTAGCGGCTGGGCTAACGGATTTCTCGAATGTGATGTTGGGTGGGGAGGAGGCACCATGGTGAGAAACCTGTCCTGCCCCCTCTCTTGCTTCAGGATCATGTCAGGGTATTTAGAGGTGGTAAATAAATGTTGGCACAGCCAGCGGTGCCCACAAACCATAGCCCCCCAACCAGAACGAGCAACAGAAAAGCCCCCATCCCTTCCTGCTTTTGATCCTCCTCCCACTTGCCTTAGAGTCATAGAGCTGTACAGCATGGAAACAGACCCTTCGGCCCAACTCGTCCAAGCAGATATCCTAAATTAATTTAGTCCTATTTGCCAGCATTTGGCCCATGTCCCTCTAAACCCTTCCTATTCATGTACCCATCAGATACTTTTTTAATGTTATAATTGTACCAGCCTCCACCACTTCCTCTGGCAGCTCGTTCCATACACGCACCACCCTCTGTGTGGAAAAGCTGCCCCTTAGATCCCTTTTAAATCTTTCCCCTTTCACCTTAAACCTATGCCCGCTAGTTTTGGACTCCCCTACTCTGGGGAAAAGATCTTGTCTATTTATCCTATCTATGCCCCTCATGATTTTATAAATCTCTATAAGGTCACCCTTCAGCCTCCGACATTCCAGGGAAAATAGCCCCAGCCTATTCAGCCTCTCCCTGTAGCTCAAACCTTCCAACCCTGGCAACATCCTTGTAAATCTTTTCTGAACCCTTTCAAGTTTCACAACATCCTTCCTATAGCAGGGAGACCAGAATTGAACACGTTATTCCAAAAGTGGCCCTAACCAATGTCCTGTACAGCTGCAATATGACCTCCCAACCCCTATACTCAACGCACTGACCAATAAAGGCAAGTGTACCAAACACCTTATTCACCTCCTACCTGCAACTCCACTTCCAAGGAACTATGAACCTGCGCCCCTAAGACTGTCTGTTTGACAACACTCCCCAGGGGCCCCAGTGTCGCAGGGATACTCCTCATTGCTGCTGAGCTTCTTCAGTTTCGGAGCAGAGTTTCGGTCTGGACTGGGAGGACAGAGCCCACGCAGAGGGGAGGGATCGAGGTGCACTGACTGTCTCATCTTCTATCCCTCTGCAGCACCCATACCCCTCTGAGGAACAGAAGAAACAGTTAGCACAGGACACAGGCCTCACCATCTTACAGGTGAACAACTGGTGAGTGACCACATGCCGCATGGGGAGGGGAGTGTGTGTGTGTGTGTTTGGGGGGGTGGAGGGGAGTGGAGGGTGAGGAAAGGGGAGGGAGCGGAGTGGGAGTGAGGTGGAGAGGGGTGGGCAGAGGGAGAGCGGGGCGGAGGGGGAATGAGAGGGAGGGGAAGTGGGGGAGGAGAGTGGGTGGAGAGGGTGTGAGGGAGGTGAGTAAGAGGGGGAGTGGGAGTGGACGGGCGAGTGAGTGAGGAAAGGGGAGTGGGTAGAGGGAGAGCGGGTGTGAGGGAATGAGGGGGAGTGGTTGTCAGGGACGGGGAGTGAGTGGAGGGGGAGTGAGGAAAGGGGAGTGGGTAGAGGGAGAGCG